TGACCTCGTCCACACCGAGTGGCCAACTTTGGCACGTGTTCAGACCAGCTACCACGCATCTCCTCCTCTACAGCTCGCGGCGTTCACTATCTGCATATCACAGAGGGTGTTCGCGTGTGGTTTGCAGAGCACGACAGGGCATATTGAGGAGGGGCTCGCGATCGGCGACAACTCGCGTGCTAGTTCAAATATTCTGCTGCTGCTGTGTTCTGAGTGGTGGGGCATATTTTTCTACTTGTTCATTTATTAACATACGGAGTGCTGACAACAACGATTCGCATCAACAACATCGCATCAACAACATTTCGGGTGTGTGTACCAAAACAAAAGCAACACATATTCACGGGGGGCGCACGACCCAGCCTACTGCAGGTACTTTCCGCAGCACGGGTTATGCTATTGTGATGGTGCGCGCGGAAAAAAATTCCCCCACTCGGGGTCTAGTACATGAAAGAAACAAAAGCGGGCGCCGGCTCTTGTTCGTTTTCTGACAACAACAGCACACACTCTCTTCTTGTTGCCAACCATAAACCTACCGCCTTGCTCGAGCCGGCGATGACGATGAGGTCTTTGTGGGGCATGAACTGCCCGAAATTATCGACCCAGTAGTCCGTGAACGACAGCACGGTTTCTCGCTTTGGACTATATCCCCCGACTCCGGATCTGCTAGTCCTGTTTTTGCCATCAGTCAAGAGTGACAAAAGTGCAGCAGCAACAACAACAAACAGCAGCAGCAGCAGCAGCAGCAGCAGCACGCGGATGCGAGGCTTATTATTATACCACGTGGCGGAGACCAACGGGGATGACATAGAAACAACAACACAAAACTCTCTGTTTAGATTGAAAAGGGCGGCCGCAACAAGAACCGAGCGGTTTTTGTACAGCAACCGACATAAAAGACATCGTCACGAGTAGAGGCAAAGAGTAGCATGGCTGAAACCATGTACCAATCAAAGAAACGGCATGCTCCACGCAGTTGAACGGAATGGATTTTTCAGGACGACGCGGTTATTGAATCATGCGTGTAAACGCGCAACCCGTCAGTTCTTTGATGACCATGGGAACACATGTCGCCGAGTGGAAGTCCACACAGTTCTCTTTTCTTGCGGCAAGAAGAAGTCGACGACGACAGATTTTGCACGAATCGCCTGCTCGTAGATGCAGTGTCCTGGTACACACGAACGATCTATAAACGAACAGGAGAGGCGATCTGTCTGCAGTCAGTCAATCCTATACACTACATGTCACGCCAGGTCACGCGACTCACCTTTCGGGGTTGGGCGATGCCCTCGCATGAGGTGTCCCTTTGCAAGCGTCGATGACCTGGTTCGATACTCCGAATGATTTCTTGAAGAACCGGGTGCAGACTGGAATACCGGCCGCAATCATCGACCCTTGGCCAGGGCCTAAGTGAACAACCGGCACTCGGTCAAGCACGAACCTCTTCCGGTCCTCGCGGGTCGAACACAGTCGGATGAAGTCCTGCTCCTTAGCGAGCGTGCGTGCGAGGAAAGACTCAACATCTTGTGTAAACTTTTGCACACAGCCTAACCGAGCACAGCAACGGTCCTGCTCGTTCGCCGAGACCGGTTGAGGCCATACGCGGCGAGGTTTTGTTGTTGCGCTGGTCGCGTTGCCGTCCGTAGCAAGATCTTGCACGTCATCGCTAACCGCGGGGGAAACGGGGGGGGTGGGAGGAGGTGCAGCAGCTGACACAAGCCACGCCCTTGCCCCGGGGGCAACTGGCATGATGTGGTGATATCTTCTCTCGGGTTACGAAGATTGGTGCTTTTGTTTTTGTGGTGGATGGTTTGAATGTAATGGTGTGTAAGGGCAACAATTTTCAGTCAAAAATATTTTCATCTTTCTCATCTTCATGCGGGAGTCTTTTTGATCCGACGGGTCACAACAGCAACGGTACGCTAACGTTTTCGGAGGGATGAAACGAGGACATCAGTAGAAACTGTTGACTTTCACGAACGGTAATCATATCTCGTAACAATCTAGCATGATACGTGTTATTTTTAATTGCTGGAACAATAGCACACAACGGTGAGAAATCCAAGGGTCCGAAAGACCCAACGGTTTTCCGGTTCGTTGAATTTGGTCAGTTGACCGTTTTGAAGAATAGCGAAGAGCTCATATCCAAAAAAATATACAATAAATAATCAAAATTGTTCATCCACCCGATGGGAGAATTATCAGATGTTCCGAAACTCTTCGTCCACCCCAACGGCAGCAAGGTGGATGTTATTAATGTAAAATACAACGAAAAAATTACATTATATTTTAATAAATCGTTTGAAGAACAAAGAGATGACTTCCCCTTCTGAGGGTTCCGTTGGGACAACGGAATCTCTCAGGGTTGTTTCAGCCCGTTCCGGAAGTTTTCCCACCCCTCTCCGCCCCACGCAGCCACTCCCACAACACCCACCCACCCACTCCCGCCCCCGCCCTCGCCGTCAACACCTGACACGGTTATCATCTGTGCCAAGCACGAGAGCGACCCGTCACCCATCATGGCGAATCGAACCCTTCAAGATATGTCTGCCGTCCTGTCTAAGCACTACCTCGGCGAGTTCAAGATGCGACTCTGCAACATCACGTGCACCGAGATGGTGCGGCCCCTCAGCCAAAATGGTCTGCAACACCTCGAGCGCTCCATTCAAGAAGTGGGCTGGATCGAGAGTTTTGCTCCTTCTGTTGTCATCCAGCGAGACCACCTCGGTGACAGCCGTGAACTCACTGCCGAGGCCGCGCTCACCGCACCTGCCCACACTCTAGACGGCAACCACAGGGTCACTACGCTGAAGAAGATGTACGGCGAAAGTGGCGTGTTCCTCGTTCGGGTCTACCTCGAGTTCAACCAGGCGGATGAGAGGCTAATTGCCAACGGTGAGTTGACTGCTGTGTCTGCTTTGTGTGTGGGGACGTGGTGTTCACTGCTGCTGTCGTCTCAGCCAGCCATCGTGCAGAAACCTCCTTCGTGCGTCGTCGATGTGTTGCATGGCTTCTTCTGTTGTTGCTCTTCCCTCTCGTCTCTGGTTGCTAATTGTGGAGTAACGTATCCGTGTCTTGTTGTCGTGCAGCAGCGCAAAAAATGCTTGATTGTTCGTGTCTCTGACTTGTTTGTTTGGTTGCTGCCCCCCACGTCGGCTCGCCGCTGTTCACAGCTTTGAATGACGCCACGGAGAGCGTCGTGCAGCCAACCCTCTACGACAAAGTGTACTTCCAGCACGAGCTCGAAGAGGCCATCAAGCGCGAGATGAAGAAGGACAAAGTTACTCAGGCAGACATTCGCCGGATGTATGAAAGGGTGAGCAGATTGTCGATGTTGAACAATATTCGTACAGCAAGCTCTGTGTCTGGCCATCATGTTGTTGCTGACATGTACTATTAGTCTATGTACTCCTTGACCCTCACAGACATCATCAGTGTATGTCAACCCAGCAGCTTGTTTGTTGTTTATCTGCGCTCCATTTATTCGTGGCACACCCGCGTAGTCTGTGCCGCTTGCTCCTTTATCAGCATTGTTGCGACAGGAGTTAGTTGTGGTGGAACGTGCAGCAGCAGTCCGGTCGCCGCCCCGTTTGTTCGTACCAGCTATATACAGCAGTTTGTTTTAGTATAGACCCTCGCTTCAACGCTGTGCTTCTCCTTGTCTCAGAAGTGCGTTGCGGATGACTGCGTGCTTCCGGCCATCTTGCGCAGCAGAAAAGCATGCTTGTACGAAGAACTGGTACAAGTTTTTTTGTTTTTGTCGTAGTACGCTGCAATCGGTCGCTACGCGACTGAGACTTGGGTGTTGATTCGGTCACTAACGTCGTGCGTGCTTTCCCGGGCGAATGTTTTTTCTCTTTGCCGCCGATCGTGAAGGTGGGTGTTGCTCCCCCCCCCAAGACAACTCTTCGGAACTGGCAGATGGCCGTAGACGCTCTTCACCCAGAGTCATTCCAAGTACTGAAGGAAGTGTGCGAGTCCGAGGAGGCTGGGGTGGATCGTGCCGCTGTTACCTTGACGTACTTGACCCGGAAGGTTTTCGCAGAATTCTCCGCTCTCCAGCAAGGGCTTTGCATTCATCTCGTCTCCAGGCAAGCTGGGTCACCGTGGTGTTGTTATTGGCAGAGTCACTAAACCCGTAGTACAAAGTAGTAATGAAAGCTGTCCTTAAAGTAGTATTTCGCTCAGTACAGTATGGAGAGCCGTACTAAACCGCTTAAGTACAGTACAGTGTTGTGGGTCAAATACTGTACTATGTCCAGTACAGGACCGGCCGAAAACCCCTACTAAACCCCCAGTACAGTACGGTGTGGAGACCTGTACTAAGCGCAATAGTACACATAGTACAGTATAGAAAGCTGCACTAAGTGTACTATTGCGCTTCGTACAGTATCGAGAGCCGTACTAAACCCCCAGTAAAGTACGGTACGGCCCTATACTTGCTGAAGTGCTAAAAAGTACGTTTAGTACGTACTGTACTAGAGGGAACCTTTTTTTTTTTCCAATCTAGTCTCGGTCGGTATAAAAGTACAGCGATGAATAGGTGATAAACCCTGCACGAAGATGCCCGTTTCTCAACGGTGTGCCGGTCCTCCCTGCCGCCCGACGTGTGGTTGATTTTCCCGCAGGTTCAAGTTTATGAACAAAAAACTGCCTGGCGCAAAAGACTACGCGGACATCGACAAGAACGCCGGAATCGCCGCGTCCTTTGTGGAAAACGTCCTCAAGTTGGTGCCCAGAGATGACTGGACACCAGAGCTACGAAGGTTGGTAAACATATGGGGGATGCTGGGAGGTTCTTGTGGTCCGTGTTTTTCCCATCTCCTGTATGTACCTTGTAGAAACGCCGCGGATATTCAACCCTTGACGAGCTGAAACTTGGTATTCAGTCAGACTAGCGACGGGAAATGCAGCGATGAACTGTTTCGAGGTGCTTTGCGGGTGGCTCGTGGCCTGATTTCTTGTTTTCTTGGAAAACACGTTTATGGACTGTTATTTCGCATCCGCTCCGACCTTGGGACTTGTCGCGCAACGATGCACGACGTTCAATCAAGAAGTTAACATGGACCCTGCCTGATTCAATGTACGCAACACTATTACAGGGAAGTCAACAGGCTCTCTCACGAGAAGCCCAACCAGCTCGCCCTGTACGTCAAGCCCCACCACAAGCAACAGGTCGACGAGGCGAAAAGACTCCTGGAGGAGGTCTCCACTGCCGACAAAGCCTCCTCTCACGTCGTCCAGCTGAAGGAGTCCATCTCGACGGTGGTGCCATCGATGCCGCTGCCACGGATCAGAAATGTCAGTGTGACATCGTGTGTTTTGATGTGCA